TCACCTGCCGTTTAACGGCCGCTTAACGGCCGCGCGCGCGACCGGGCTGCAGCCACGTTGCCCCTCGCCCCCTGTGCGAGGGAGGCGCCGTCCAGCACCGCGGAGGGCAAATCCCGGCCCGCGGGGGACAAGTGGCACCTTCCCCTATCCCGCTCTCCTGGTTAACGTTCCCCCTCGGTGTGGGCGGCTTCCCTGGGGCCCCCAGCCGGGCCCAGCCCCTGCCATGTTGGCTGGTGGGTGCAAAGCAAGTGGAGGGGCCTCGTACCTGTCCCGGTGTCCCCAGGCGATGCTCTGGCCCGGTGACCGGAGTTGCATCACAGTTGTCACTAAGCAGAGTGATTGCACACAGGGCTTGTTGGCCAGGGAAAGTGTTTCTTGCTTTCAGGTAACACATAAAACTGACTGGCTCATTGCTAGCATTGCAGTCACGGCAGATTGGTGAGGTGGAGGTTTGTGTACAGCTTTAACCACTCAGCAGTGAACCGAGTGCCAGGCCTTAACTTGCCTGCGGATAGCGTAGCCCTCTAGTTTGTGAGGGCCAGGCCTCAAATCACCCTGGTAGAGCACAGTCCCGTTACTCAGCAGTGCTTGGAGCGTGTCAGCAGGACCCATGGAGATGCCTCAGTGCTCCCCTTCTAGCTGGGAGAAGTGTAGCCACATAAATGCAGTTGTGTGCCCAGGCTGATGCGCTGGCCTGTGCTGCCCAGCCAGAGCAGCAAACTTGTCCTTCCCCTCTAGCCCTGAGAGGTTATTTAGCCTCAGGCATCATTGCTCCTGAACTAGACCCAGACTTATGACCTGCCGGTCAAGCTCTTCGTGCTTCGTCCTAGTCCACCCAAGATCACAGAGCTTTGTTTTGCTGTTGACAGACTCAGCTCCTTTGCAAGATCTGCTTCAGTTCCCCTTTACATGCTTAGCTCATTGGGCCAACTTTTCCAGCCCTTTTCTAAACGATCTACCTCTAGATCAAGATGGATCACAGCCTCTTTCCACTGCCCTTGCAGTGTAATGAGTAAGGAGTTGACAGAGCATTGCAGGACATTGAAACAGCAGGGGGAGGGGAAGAAAGATGCAGAAGGATTTAAATTAATAGGCAGTTAATGACATTAAAGAAGTCAAGATTTGAAAGCTGATAGTAGATGTATGCTTCTGGCAGTAATGGCACTACTTTTTCATTGTGATATGTTTGCATGAACTTGAAAATTTGAGGTAATAGAACTTCTGGTTATTGCAGCTGGCCTCATTACGGTTATGATTGATATTGATGATCAGTCATAATGAACCTTACAGCAAAGTAGACTTTCTCCATTACAGATTAAATGCTGATTCACTGCCAAATGTAAAATTGCAAGAATATATTGAGTGCCACTGCATGTGAACATATATTCAAAAAAAACCCCAAAAAAGACATGGCCTCTAGATTGACCCCTATTTGTCACAGTGTAGTGAGTTCTAACTGACTGCTAATTATAAAATATGCCCTTTTACATTCTTTTGGGTAAGCTGTAGGAGGATATAGGCAAAAGTTTTCTTTATCAGTGCTCAAAGCAGAATACCTTTGATGTGCCAACTTCATTCCCAGCTTGAGTGCTACACAACTGAGCCTAGTAAAAGCTTCCTTCAGTTAGTAGTAAATCTCTTTCTTTTTTTTTCAGCTGGACTGTACCCAGTAAGGTGATAAAAATACTTAGACTCCAAGTATCATAGATGGGTGACTCCGAGTATCATCTAGTTACAGCTGAATCGCTATAAACAAACAGCAAAGTTTTACTTGACTTTGCTAAGTTTTTACAGCAGACCTGTAGTAACTTAACATTTTTTTCAGGCAGCTATTCAATTTCTTACAATTTACTTTCTGCAGTGTGGAAAAAAAAAAACAGATGATACAGTATCCATCAAAGTTATGTTAGGTTTTTAAAATTCAGCTCACTTTGAAAGAAAGTAAGTAGTAATCCCAGTCTGAGAAAGAAGGCTTGCTTAGTTTGAGACCAGCACCCAAGAAAGCACAGCTAGACTGAAGAACAAACAACTTCAAGGCTGGTTTGCAGTTTAGAGAAACATGGCACTGTGGTTGCAAAGACTTCACTCAGTTTCAGCAAGTTATAAGCTGGACTAGCTTCTTGCTGATATTATGTCTCCTTCAGTTTCTATCTCTATCATAAGCCATGATTCCAAGGATATAAACCTATGAACCAGTGGAAAGTATTATGTTGAGCTCAGAGAAGACAATGCCCTATTAATAGGATATTAAGGTGAATTTTAAGTGATAACTGGAGTGATATAGGTGATAACAGATAGAACATAAAAGCCTGAGAGGCCACAGGTTTGCCTGCTTGACCTCAGCTTCTGTAATTCGGAGCGGTGTCTCATACATGCTACCTCCAGAATCCTAACATATATGTCTTACTGCTTCTGACAAAGGCAGAAGGCCTAGTCTAAATATAGCAATGAGTGCCTTGGCTTGAATCACTAAGATTACCTTCATAAGAGCAAAGGAATTGATTGTTGGACTGCTTTCTTTCCTGTGTCTAAACAACCTTTTTTTTTTTTTTAATAGGAGAACATATTTGATCGATCCAGGATGGCCCCAAAGACTCCCATTAAGAATGAACCAGTTGACCTATCAAAGCAGAAAGGCTGTACCCCAGAAAGAAATCCAATTACACCTGTTAAGCTCACTGACAGACCACAACCTGATCCCTGGACCCCCACTGCTAACCTAAAGATGCTTATTAGTGCTGCTAGCCCTGACATGAGGGACAGGGAGAAGAAGAAAGAGCTCTTCAGACCTATAGAGAACAGCGAGCAGAAGGAGACCTCTGATTGTTTACAGGTGAGACTCACAACAGTTACTTTGCATTTAGTCAGGACTCAGACCTTCCAGAGGCCAGTTATTGCAGCTGACCTCATTACAGTTATGATTGATACTGATTTATTTACCTAAAAGTCCCCTCAGGGTGTCTGCCTTTCATGGCTGGGGTTTTGCTGTAGTTGGCTTTGGTTGAAGACTCCAGTAATTTCTGAGGCTGGTTCGAGAGGGCAATACCTTGCTCTTCTGAGAAACCCAATGGCAGTTGGTTCCATCTTTTCGGTCTGGGGACCACGATCAGCTACCTGGGATTGACATGGGATGCTGGCCACGCTGAAGGACTGTTTTTAATGAGCAAGCTTCTTTATAGAGCCTCGGTTTTTCTCCAATGGTCCCTTTTCTCCCCATGGAAAACGGCTTATTTCTAAGGACAGTTGTCCATGCAGCACTAACAGACCAATAAGAATTTCCAAGACTAGAGGCAGCTGTCTTAAAAATAAGGGAGACATATCCTGAAAATTAGTGATCAGGAAGGATGTAGAAGAAGGTAGAGCTTAAATGTGCTAGTTTTCTCACCCTAAGTACTTGTGAAGCTATTTTCCATCCATATTGCAGAAAATCTGCCAGATTACTTGCAAGCAAGCAACATATTTAGGCACAACATAACCATTTTCAAAAGCAATTAGATTAATGTAGGCATAATTTATTTTTTCATTGCACTTTTGAAGTCTTTGTTCACAAAAGCTAGACAAAGCAGTCATTTAAACCATTCTCCTCCCAGCTCCAAAACTAACCATCAGACACAGTATGATCACATGTTAAAATGTGCGACTGGCCCCTGTTCTCGCTTTAAGAAATCATTTCCACTTCCAGGAATGGAGAGGATGAATTCCTCAACTGTAATAAAGCATTATTACAGTTTTTTGTTTATTTATTTTTCCCTTTTACTACAACCACTACTTTCCCTTTCCTAAATTATTTCCCGTGGAATATCCTTCCCCTGTGACTACAGTGAGAAGATGACAGTCTGGGATCTTCCTGCCAAGGACAAATGTCACTTGATAGGTACAGATCATGTTCACAAGTACAGACCTTATAGCATTTACAATGATTGTAATCTGGAGAATTCTTCTCTTAAAATCATCATGAGGGAACAAGCAGTTCTCTAAAGGAAATTCACAATATAGCTTCACACAAGCAAAAATACTTGTTGTGTTAAACATAGATACATTACATTCTAAGCCAATTATAATAAAAGTCTGCTAAAATTATGTAGCATTTTTAGGGTAGCTACTATAAAGAGTTCTTGTATTTTCTAGGTAATAAAGCTTAGAGATAATTTTCTCCACATAGAAAGTTAACTTAAAAAAGACAGGAAAACATTATTGTAAGAACGTATGCTGGAAACATTAAAGAATATTGATATTCCATACGATATAAATCTGCTGCAGAGTCACTTAATCACAGTAAATAAAGGATAGATAAGATCTTACAAGCAAGGGAACTTTTGTTTCCACAACTACCACTCAACTTGCCTTTACTAGAGGAAAGGCTTTCTTTTGTTTTTCATAGAGAAGCAAAGCCCCCAAATTACCAATGCAAAAAATGTCTATTTTTCTGGGCCTTATGTGATAAACATACCTTCCTACATGATCCTGCCATCAGTTTTTAGCAGAAATTGAAAGACCGTATTCAGTCCATCCCACTGATTTTCCTTAAGTTAGCAACTTCACTTAAGGGTCAGAGACTTGGTGGTGCCCTTTATAATCTCTTAATTAGCATCACACCCACATCATCTTAAAGCTACAGAACCACTCCAAAGGGCAGTGAAATTTATCAAAAGAGGTTTTGTAGAAAATCTCTAAAGGTTTGTCTGTCTTCTAACTTAAGAGATCCAAAGATATTGCAGGGAGTATTCTTCCTCATTGTCTCAGAAAGAAATATTCCTTCTAAATTAGATCTTACCATCTGCTAGTTCTGAGTGTTTGCTTCTACCTGTTTATTTTCTGATACATGACCATTAACTTATGAGCTGGTAGGTTAAGAGGTTTCCTGTGGTCATCATTTGTATGGGACACTAGATTAAAATGAGCTTGCCAGCAGAAGTGTGTCGCCCGGGTGCTGTGCTTCTAAGAAGCCCATGTTTTATTTTTCCTTCTTGGAAAGTCTGAGCTTGAATATGGTTAACCTCTGAAATATGCCTCCCTTGGCTATGCCTTGCTTCTAGAGCTCTGCACTAAAGGGATAACATTTATTTTTTAACAGTATGATATGGTAGACGACAGCGCGGTTGATGAATTTGAAAAGCAGAGGCCCAGCAGAAAACAGAAAAGCTTAGGACTCTTGTGCCAAAAGTTTCTAGCCCGCTATCCAAGTTACCCATTGTCTACAGAAAAAACTACTATTTCTTTGGATGAAGTGGCTTCAATTCTTGGTATGTATATCTGCAAAAATGGGGTAACTCTGGTTGCCTGGGGTACCTCTTATAGAAAGGCCTGTAAAGGACCCTCCCTCTTACACTGTACATTCAAGGTCTGCATTTCCTTGGGTCTGGGTGCTCTTCTAATTGTATTAAACAAGAGCTGGAATTGACTAATATTTATAAGTGTCTTTACTGCTTAATAATGCTACCATTTTGAAATCTGCTTTCCGATAGCACTTTTTACTAGAGAAGTAAGTTCTCCAGCTGTTTACAAACATTGATGCTTTTTTGAATTTTCAATTTACTGAGCTTTATTCAGTAATGTGCCTGACATTATACCTTCCAAGATCTCATGTATCAAGGTTATCTTAAGAATTGTCTTGTGATGGGAGATTAGCAGAAGAGATGTGCGAGAGTGGAATAAGAAAATGTGTTGTATTAAGGCATGGAGGAACCATAAATTAGCCTATTTTCTGGGTCTGCTGCTAGGTTTGGTATGAGCTAAAAGGTTAATTAAATATGTGAGAAAAGTAATAAAACTTTGGAGTAATAAAACTTGGCCAGGTCACACCAATAAGGAAAGAGGTCTTTAGAGAGTTTGTCCCTTAGGTGGTGAGGTTTTAACAAAATTAGAATTCAGCTGACTAAATGTATGTGTGTATCTCTATTTAGAAGTCAGACATTTAACAGAAAGTAGGTAGCAAAAATAAAATAAGTCTTCCTTTGGGAAGAAAGGAAATAGGAGAGGGATGTCCCCTGTAATTCTAGTAAGGAAGTTCCTGAAATATTCATGTAATAGCCTTGGCAAATTAAGAGAATGGGAGAGAACTCAGATAAAGTAAATAGTTAACAAATTTAACAAATTACTGTTTATGGGAATTAGTCTTTTAGATGTTGTGGTTACTCCTTGTGTCCCTGCCAGAGTGCTCCAAAGTGGGCGAGCTGAACACAAGTAGTGCTTTATTCTGTGGCATTGCCTTCCTTTCCTTAAGACTAGAAATTTTGTTTTGAAACTTGGCTCCTGTGGATTGCACCTGTCAGAAAAGCATATGTTTGCTCTTCTGTTTTCCACTTCCTTGCTCGTCCACATCCACTTCCTTCAAGGATCACAAAATTACCTGTCAATTTAACAAATGCCTGTGCTGCAGCTTTTGCCTCAGATCTGTAATGCTGTGTTCACTGAGGTCCTGCCTGTGGAAAGGCTGCAGAAGGGGTTATGCCACTGGCATTGGAGGCACACCAGGGTGTGAGTTGTACTCTGTATGTCTGGAGCATGTTTCACTCCAAGATCTCTATACACTTGGAAATACTTCTGAATTATTTATTCTAATATCCATTTGAGGCTGGTAAGTAATATCCATATTTTCCAGATGCATAAGCAGATGCATCGAGGCCTTGCCTTCCCTAGAGCAGCCTTTCAAACTCCTCGCCTTTGGCTAACACTTGTTGTGCTCAGCTGCTCTTAGCAGTTAGGGGACTTCAGGTGCCAGCAGCACGTTGCAGGCGGTGTCGTGCTGCAGACAGCCCTGAGCAGCAGCACTGGAGCCAACGGCCTGCTCACAGTCAGCCCCCAGCCTTGTTCATGCCAGTCGGGAGTAAGAATAGGCTCCATCTGTAGGAGCAGGCTTCTGTATCTGCCCTGTGTCCGTGTCAGACTAGATCCTTTTCCTGCCCTCAGTATGACATAAGAAGGACCCAAGTGGCTCTGGATGGCTTTGGAAAAGTGCTAGCAGTCATGCAGCCTGGGTAGTTCTGGTGAGTGGGACAGAGTAGACTGCTGCCAGGTCTTCTAAAGATAGTGTAGATGTTTTAAGCCTCAGCCAGGGTTGGGCTAGCCACTAATTGTATTAAATATAGACAAAGAGCACCCGACCGTGGGCCCAGCTATGCGCAAGCTGGTTCTGGCTGTGCAAATTCAGTTTGATTTAATGTGCCCAACAGAAGATCATGAAGGGTGACACTTTTATAGAGAATAGCCTGTTCTCTGTGCAGCTTCTGCTGAAAAACATGTTAAAACTAGATGAGTTGCTATATCTCTTTCATTCTTCCCCTTCAAAACAGGAGTTGAGCGGAGACGAATCTACGATATAGTGAATGTCCTGGAATCGCTGCACTTGGTTAGCCGTGTGGCCAAGAACCAGTACTGTTGGCATGGCCGGCACAACCTAGGTCAAACTCTGAAAAGGCTTCAGGAAGCAGGAGAGTTGCAGTATGGAGAGCTAATGGCCTTCTTTCAGCACAAGGAGCAGGACCTGGACTATACCTTTGGAGAAAGGAGAAAGGACACAAATCTAGATTCTCAAGACAAACCACTGCTTGACTTTTCAGAACCAGATTGCGCCTCTGGTAAGATGAGTAATGGATGTTACGTGATACAGAGACACAAATCTCTTTCTCCAATATACCGTGTGACTTTTTCCCCTTCGTTTTGCTCTTAAATTAAAGAATAAAACTTCTGAGGAGACAGAACTGGTCCTTCTAACCCTAGCGATGAGTGGGGAAAAAATGAAGAATCAGTGTTAGGCAGAAGCTCCTGCTAGTCCAGAGGATAGAGGGAAAGTCTGTTCTGAAACTTTCCCTCTATCCTCTGGACTAGCAGGAGCTTCTGCCTAACACTGATTCTACATTTTTTCCCACTTATAGCAGACAGTACTTTGACCTGACAGAAGGTTCCATGTTCCATTTGTCCACTGTTTACATGTGACCCTTATATACATAATGTTTTAGTATAAAGTCCATTGGAGGCATACAATTACAGTGGCTCAAAACTGTGTAATGTAATACAGAATCAGCTTTGGAGTGTGACTTCCTAAATGCTGTTCCTGTAAGCTTTATTCTTTGTTGCCTTTTGAAGAGACACTTCTGTCTGCTTTATCAGTTATTTGCTGCCTCTCAAAAGATTTCTGCTTTCCACCAAGGAAATGTGTTGCCCCTTTTATGTATGAGAAACCTACTTAACGCTTTTTTGGCTATGCTGGTTGACATATGCTAAGAGGCTTGGGTATTATTTGTAACACAGCATCTGCAAACAGCAGAAAGGACAAGTCGTTGCGGATTATGAGCCAAAAGTTTGTGATGCTGTTCCTTGTCTCCAAGACCAAGATAGTCACTCTCGACATCGCAGCAAAGATACTGATAGAAGAAAGCCAGGATACAGTGGACCACAGCAAATTTAAAAGTAAGTATGGCTGTTGAGAGAGGAATCAATCAGTGAGTAAAAAAAAAAAAAAAAAAAAAAAAGGGGGCATGTTTTAGTGACACCAGTAAGTAACAGCAAGAGGGGGTCAGGAATCTTTAGCTGAAATATGGTTTATTGTAATTGGAAATGCCAGGCTGTGAAAACTGACCTTGGGGTGAGAAAGGGTCAGTTTGACAAATATCTTCAAAAAATAATTTCAGAATTAAAAAAAAAAAATTAGGAGAATGTGTTTTGATATATATATTTTTTTTACTTTAACACCTTATTTTCTGTAGCTTTCTCAATTTCTCAAAACTTGTGGAAATTTGTTCCTTACTTGAATGGAATTTTTTTCCTACATAAATTTGTAAGTTCTCCTTTTCTCCCCCACCCCAGATTTTTCAAATCTGCATGGCACTATTCTGTTTTTTTTTTTTTTTTTAAATAACATACTAGCATTTCAGTCATAAATTTCTACCTTGAGTACTGGAGTGAGGAGTTGAGCTGAACAGTCTGTTGGCATCGTATCCAGTTCGAACGTATGATTCACTGGAGTCAGATTTTTTTCTAAGAGTGCTTCATGTAGAACTCCACAGATGTGGATCCTCTTGTGATCAACTGTGCAAACTTGTGAGCCTCTCGTATCCAGGTGCTCATCTTTGCCCCTCAGGGAGCTTACTGCCTTTCCTGGGCAGGCTGATCATGTAATGCTAAAAATCACCAAAAAGAGCTGAGCACATATTGAGGGAGCTGGGAGTGGGAACTACCATGGCAGGATACGTAGGAATTAATCCAGGAGAAGTGTCCATGTCTGAACTTTTTCCTTCATCTGTGAAATCAACAGGCACATTCTGGAATTAAACTGTCTTGTAAATATGCGTTGTAAATGTGACCATCTTGGCTCTTTCTGTCCCTCTTTTTTATTAGCGAAGGTACGAAGGCTGTATGATATTGCCAATGTTCTCACCAGTCTAGGCTTGATAAAGAAAGTTCATGTCACAGAGGAGCGGGGGCGCAAACCAGCCTTCAAATGGATTGGGCCTGTGGAATTTAGAGGAAAGAAAGGTAACCTGCTCTTTTCCTTTGCTTTGACACTTCCTTTCAAACTGCAAAGGGTGGGTTTCTGTGTGTAAAGAACGTCTCTGCATTCACCGTGTGCAGTACCCATGCCTTGTGATTATTAACTGCTGGCCAGCTCAGAATTTGCCCTTATTAGATTATATGCTCAGAGACCGGAGTTATGGGAGAGAGAGTGTGGACTGCTTGTACATGTGCCCTAATACAGAAGATTTATCTGTAAAGAAAAGAGGGATTGGTGAGAGCATCTTTAAGCTGCTAATTCTTGCCTAGAAGCCAGTGCAAAGGAGAGCCCTTTTGCTCTATATTTTCTAATTGGGCAGGCCAGTCCTAGAATCAAAAATAAAGGATATTGTTAATGTCATCTTTGTGCCCTTTCCTTCTGCATGCTTGCACTGGAGTGTAGATGCTGCTTAGGGCTGCCAGAGAGTGGAAAGGAGGGAAGCCTTTATCTTATATCCCTGCTTAGGGAGCTTGGCCTTCTTCAATGTTGTGGGGTTTGAGCTGCCTTCGAGATTACTGCTTCTCGTATGTCCAAGTTCAGTGACATGAAAGAAGCCTAGAAGACAAGCTGTGTTCCCTGAATGACTTGTATAAAATTACATACCTGCAGAGAAGCCAAGAGGGCATAGCCCAACATCTGATCATCTGCCAGACATACAGAGGGAAGCCTGTGCCCCGTATCCGACCTGTGCTAGTGGAAAGCAAAGGTTCACCCGTCACGCTTCACTTAATGATGCACAGCCTTGGGAAGGGACCAAAAAGAAGCTCCTTTCTGAGCCTAACAGCCCACACCAAGGGAAGCGAGGTAACTACCACAGTGACATATTCTTCTGTATCCCACTGGGTCTGCACAAATGCTAGGCCACCAACTTAAGGCTGTTAGCTGGGAGAATCAGACTGACTAAATATGTGAATTAGCATTGGGAGGTGCCTGTGTTTCCCACATGATGAGGTTTCTAATTTGAACGCCTCAATCAAGTACTTAAATCAATCTGGGCCTTACTGCCTTGAATCCACTTTTTTTTTCTGATAAATGTTTCTCTTCTCCACTAAGTACACCTGTAGTACTATTTCTTCTGTTAAAATTTGGCATAGATGAAGAAGGACTCTTTAGACAGAAAAGTTTCCTTTATTTCGTGGTCCCAAATACAGTGGAGTTTTCTGTAGCAATCCAATGCAGAGCTCTTAGCAGTGATAGAGTGATTACAGGTCCTTTCACAGCTCCCCGCTGGGCACTTCTCCAGAAGAACTGAGGGCTCAGAGTTTGCAAGTACTAGCTGAAGGTGATTAGTGAATGTTATAAAAATGTGCCAGAATAAAAAAGTAATCCTTTATTTTATATGACAATTTGGTAAAACTGCCTGCAATTAATTGAATGTTCCTTTATTGTTTCAGCTTGTAATGTGAACTCAGATGAATATTGTTCCAAAATGGCAGATCTAACAACTACCTGTAGGCAGAAAATTGAAGATATTAGGTAAGTTGGCCTGTAAAGCTAAACGCCAGAGTCCCATAATTGCTATTTTAATTCTGATAGGTCTCAGTATGGCATTTCTTTTCTGTAGACAATTCATTCAAACATGCACTAAAGCTTTAATATAGAAAAATCAAGATTATAAACTGATCCACCTCCAAACTCTTTTGTACCTATTACTATTCTGTCAGATTGTGGACCAACTTTGCTGCTCTGATAATTAAAAGCTTTTTTTCCCCCTATTTCACAGCTTCAGCTTACTCATGGGCAGTTTATACCTACCTGTACTTGTGCAACTGCTGTTCTTTAGCTTCAGTAGTTGTTTTTCATCTCAGGTGTGCTTATATCAAGCATCCCTGTCTCCTTTGACCTGTTATTTAGGTGGGCTGAACAAAGCATCCTATGGAAGAGCCATCTATCATATTAGTGGGTCTTCTCCACACTTAATCCAATTTGAATTTATCTGTGGGTGCCAGTTATAGCTCCTTGGTACCCCTTTCTACTCCAGCCAAGTGCAACTGAAAGCACTAAATCACAGTTCTGCCAAAAAATTGGTGAGTCTGCTTCTATGTAATTTGACATAATAAAAAATTACCCTTCCTGAAAAGTGTTTAAAATTAGTAGGTTTTAACTGGGTATTTTCCTCCCTTATGACCATGAATATACCTGTTTGATTTTAAAGATGGTATATGCGATTACTTTTGGACTAAGCTTTTTTTCCTCTTTTTCCTCCTGTCCTTTTTTTTTTTTTTTTTTTTTTTTTTTTTTTTTAGGAATAAAGCTTGTGCCACAGAAATGACCTTAAATTCAGGAAGGAACCAAAGCATAAATTCGCCTCTCTCCCTTCTTCCGGTTCCAGGGGACTCTGATTTTTGCCTTAAGCCTTTGCCTCACGCATTGTTCCCGGTGGTTCAGTCAGATGTGCCGGGCCTCTCGCTACCAAACGGCGTCAGCAGCCAAGCTCTGCAGCCTCCTGTTCGAGAAGCCTCCAAAACGGAAAATGGAAAACCTCCCCTGCTCCCCAACCAGCCTTTCCTGTGCTTCCCCTCTTCCTCCCTTTTCATGCTGTGTGGCAGTCTCCAGGAAAGTGTCCTGAAGGAGAGCCCCTCTGCTGCAGGAAATGCAGGGAACAGGAGTGCCAGGGAAAGGGTCTCACCACACAAAGCCCAGGCTGCGGAAGCTCCAGTTCACTCCCAGAAACGGAGCTCCCACCCGTGCCCGTCCCCCTCTGCCCCTGCGGACAACGAGGAGCCTCTTGCTAAAAAGCAGCCTCTGGAACAGAGCAACATCCCACTCTCTCTTGTAGTACCCAAGGTAAAGGAGTGAAAGGAGAAACTTACACCCAAGTCAGCGCTTTTTGAAGCAGGTTTCTGTTACAGATTCAAGTGCTGTCTCTCACATATTAAGGAAATTACAAGGGTGCTGTGCAAGAAGTGTGGGTATTAACTGGAAGATGTTTTTACACTTCCAGGGAAAAATGTGTTCTGATTGCTTTGTGTAGTGAACAGCTCAGCTGGTCTTTGGAATCAATATCTTGGTAGTTGTATTAAACAGAAGAGCCTACCAGAGGGGAAGAGATCAATGTGAATATTCCTCCTCATCCTCCCCTCTCAGCTGGGTATTCCCCAGGCAGCAGCAGCATTGCTTAGTCCACTGAGCTCCAGAGAATGTTGTTTGTACCTTCCCCCTACTCTCCAGCCCAGGTTCCTCCGTCTTAAGCCTGGTATTGTGCACAGTAGATGGGTGCAAGAGAGCTTAGTGGTGGAGATTAAATGCATCTCGCCCACAGTTCTCTTATCTGCCGAAATAGGGCTCAGGCTCAAGCTCATGCCAGCGTAAACAGGAGATTTGCCTTCTTATTAATAAAAATAAAATCGCCAGCTCAGATATTTCTAAAGAATCTAATATTTCCAAGTATTGAAAGTGAACTACAGACCCGGGAACAGGGCTCAAGCATCACTGAAATTGCTCTCGAGACCCTCAAAACAGGACTTGTAACTCCCTGACTTGCTAGTCACAGCTCTTGCACTGCCTCTTTGCACAGGTGCACCCTCAACTCTAGATGAGACATCATTCTCTGTTTTTTAAATGTGGACTTCTCATTTCCTCTTATGTTTTTGCTTAGGAGCCCTTTCAGTCACCTGAGGCAGAATCTACCCCAGGAAGTGGCTCTACATCTGCTGTACATCTAGAAGCTTTTCATCTTGACCTCACAACTCCTACTGCTCCAGAGTCTGAAGACAAGGAGACTACTAATTCTTTAGACCCTCAGGAGCAAGGAAAAGCCTCTCGGAATAAAGACCCCAGTGAACCCTCTCCAGGAAAAGAGCACATCTGTAAAGAAAATGCCAATCAACCCTTCCCACCACAGTATCTCTATGTTCAACCTACTGCTGGTAAGGACAGCTATCAGATGGAGAGGCCCTTGGGTCGTCTGCATCTGTTCACTGAGCTGCTTGAATGGGAACACCTACAGATAGGCCTATAAGTGCATATATGGCCCAGTATGGTCCATAAGCCTGTATTTGGGGACATTACAAAAAGAGTCAGCAAGTCTCAGCAGTAGTTTAATAATCCTGAGTTCTCGTGACTCCAGTTGAACTGCTGTCTTCTGAAAATACATCATTTTTTGAGGTACCAGATAAGGCTAAATAGTTTTCATGTGTTGATGCTACATGTCCTGCCCCTTTTAGTATCAATGTGTTTCTGATTCTCTGCTACTTTGGAAGAGGGAGAAACTAGAAAAAAAAGAAAGTCTCTTTCAGGGGAAAGAGGATGAAATCAGCCCTGCAAAGTGTGAAATGTTACCCACATTTCATATAAGGGCTTGGGGACTTCAAGGACGAAGTTCAGCATTTTGGCATCAGAATCTACCACAGTGCTGCAGCCTGAAGTTTTGTAACTCCATGCCCTAACAGAACCTGCCTGCAGGTTTTGAGGGAACAGTCATTTGGAAAGAAGTGTGTGCCTCTAATTGCTACCTGCGCGGTGCCAGCCAGCAGAAAGGGCACGCCTCTGGTATCAGAAAGGGGGATCTAGTGCTGGTGCATCAGACAGCTGGAGGGGTGGAACAGCGCTGCCGACAGGGTTAGCTGCCCTAACAATAGGGTTAGCCACGAGCTCGGTGCTTTTCCTGACACCTGGATAACGAGAGAAACCAAAGTGGGGGAATGTAGCTGAGCCTGCTGGCAGGCCCAGTGGGGCTGGGGGGAAGCAACTGCAAATGCTGCCAGAGGATGTCATGTCTGCTCTTTTTTGTGACCATGTCTGTGTGAAGTGGAAGGTTGTTTTTGTGGGAACAGAGGACGTGCTGCAGGTTCTCGTGGCTGCTGCTTTGTGGCACAGAGTCAGCTGAAGCTAAGTGGGGTTTATGGGATTCCAGTTATGCGAAGCAGCTTACTGGATGGAGACTCTCAGTTTGAAAGAGTTGATCTTGGTGTTCTGGAAGGTCAGACAAACTGGGAACCAGTGAACCTCTAGACAGAGATGCTAGTATTTCCACTGAGAAAAATGAGTGTCTGTAGGGTATGTATCTTCAGGGTTGTTCTTGTTTTGTTTTTCTCATTTTAGAGCCAAGTGTATGTTTCATGTTTTGAGAGCGTGCGATTCCTGTTAATAAGACAAGTGTTTGTTTAGCTAAAATGTTGGTTTTGACTGAAGTTTAGAAGCATAGCCCATCAAAGGGTGGCTGGTACTTAGTAGGGACAAAGTAAATGGGTGCGGAGATACTGACCTGGCAGCAGGTGGAGGTAGGTGAGGAGAGGAAGCCTGACTGAGCAGATCAAAAGCAAACACTGCTTTTCACCTCGCACAGTTTTGTTTCTTCCTGGGCAACCTTTTTTGTTGTCATCTCTCCTGTCTAGATGAAGCTGTAAGAGCTTAATTCCAATTTGTCCACTGTATTAATGCTTTGTTTTTCTCTCTCTTTGGTTTAGGATTAAGCAGTCTTAATTTCCTGTTCTCTGCAAACCAAGCCCCTGGTGCTGTTGGCCTGGCTGCGAGCCACTTACCTTCTCTGAGCGTCCCCTGTGTCGTGGTGCCGTCAGCAGCCTTGGCTTCCTTCCCGCTCGTCTGCTCTCCCGCGATTCCCAGCCCTCTTTCCCCAGTTCCTGATGGTTCCTTCCCAGCTGCTGCCTCCCTGAATCTCGGTGTGTCTGGCCTGGCATCTGCAGCGCCCGTTTTCCTCGGCCCCACAGCAGTGGTGCCTCCAAAGGCCTCGCAGTCACCTCCAGACCTGCAGCAACCAGCTCAGCCCCCTGTGCACCTGAGTCCTGTGCTAGCCAGGGCTGGCAGTGCTGTTAAACTGGACTCCCCCGTGTATATGGGGCATCCTGTGACCCTCCTGAAACTGCAGCAGGTAAGGAAATTAAAAACGGTCATGGAGCGACAGGGAAATAACGGTGCTGAGGCAGTGAGGCTGGAGGAAGCCGGCGGAGCTGGCGCCTGGCTCTGTGTCAGCATGACAGGCTGGGGGCTCGTCTCTTCTCCTTAGTTTCCATGCCCATCTGTAGGGATGGGGGTGCTCACAGCAGCATTAGAAACATAGCACAGTGAAGAACATGTTTGGCACTGAGCAACACAGTGGTGCATTTTAAAATCTTATTGGAATAGAGAAAAAAAATGAGTTGTAATTTTTGTCCCCAGAAATCTGAACCATTTTTTTCTCCAGTAATATATTTCCATTAGAAAATCATTATGCAATAGCTACAGAAACAGATAGTCAGGATGATTATTTGTTATAATTCAGGAGTCAGCTGACTGAAAAATTGTCTTAGACAGTAGTGTGCAGGTGACCTAATCCCTGCTATGCTCTCTGTTTGCTCAGTAATGGAACTTTTAATAGCAACATGAGACTGAAACTGGGAGAAAGCACAGATTTTAGTGTTTTGTCTATCTTTTAATACAGATATTCTCATAAATTTGGGGCATGGGGTAAAATAAATGGCAAAAGAAATTCAAAAGTGGAGAAGGATTAATTTATCTGGCATACAATGAATGATATGAAACCATCCTGTCACTCAATGTTACCCAGCTCTTTACAGCTATTGCAGGGCCATTTTAGCACTGAGTTTAATTTTTAAAGTTTCTTATTTATTTATTTATTTTTACTGTTGCCTAATGCAATTACAAATAGATTGGGCTTTTACAGGGTTTGTGAGTGTTTTATATTTGTTCTTTCCAAGCTTTAGAAAAGGGTTATAATATAGACTCAATATAGGCTTAATGGCAGCCAACCTGGTTGCGGTTTGTTAGAGGTTACAGTAATGGCTCCTAGGTTATGGTTAGGTTATGGCTCTTAAAAAAGAAGTGGCTTGGGTGTAGGATTCTCCTTTTTAGACCTGTTTTGGTGCTAACAAATAATCAAAGTGAGTAAAATGTCTGGGACGGAAAAGAGCACTTCGAAGGACAGCATTGGTATAAGAACGAATATGTTATGAATATGTTTAAGTTGGAAGTGAGATGGAGGCTTTCAGTGAGGTGCTGCCACGCAACCTGAGAACAAAAAGCAGGACAGAGCCTATGTCTCTTTGTGTGAAGCTTGTGCACACATTGTGTGGCATAGGTCCCTATATGTGGCAGGGCAGAGGCCTCAATGGCTACGAACTATTCCATTTGTGTGCTTGCATGTAGGCTTTGACAAAACGCTGCTAAAACACTTTGGTTTTGTTTCCCAAACAGCCTTCGACAGCTCCCCTCACTCCCAAGAGCATTCGTCCTGCACATCACGAGGCCTTTTTCAAAACTCCCGGGAGCCTCGGAGACCCCGTTGCGTGGAAAAAAAGTGAAGGCAGCCAGACCAGAAATGCCAGCTCTGTGCAGAGGAGACTCGAAATCTCTACTGCAAGCACTGACTAACTCCGTTCATTGCAAGGGCTGGGCAGGTTGTCCTAGGACTCTGTGTCTGTTGAAAGAATAAGCCAGTTGTTATCAAACAAGAGGAGCATTTTAAAATGACATCCATTTTGGCATGTTTCCCTGCTGTCTATTCACCCACTAGTTCTGTTAACCTTCTGTTTCACAAGTCATCCTTACTACTGAATGCCTTTTACTTAGTTGTTCCTTCAGTACTAATCTGAATTCCGGTACTGTCCTTTGCACAGCCTTGTGAGCATCAGATTGCATTTGTGGTTTTAATTTGGAAAGCTGTGGGGAGATGCAAACATAATTTCCTTGCAGGCCCTATAGGTTCTTTATTCATGTTTGTAAGTGAGCTCTCAAGCACTTATCTGGGTGAGCATCTCTTTTTTTAAATTCTACTCCCCCTGAGTAACCCTGAGTGAAAACGATACTTCCAACCACTTCCTTGGTTCCAATCTGTCAAATCCTGCCTCAGCAGTGCAGCCTCTTGCTATTTATTTTGTACGTTGGAGTGGGATTTAGAGAAAAAAATGTTTTTTGCAGCTTCAGAATAACAGATTTTCTCAGGCTATGATTACTTGAATGTCAGTCGGTTATTGTACTATTTGCCCAGCACTTGCGGTTTTGAAAACCTACTAATAACTTAATAACACAGGATGATTGAATGTATACATGTGAAAAATATTAAGACCAAAATAACTGTGAATTTTAACATTTTAATAGTTGTATTAATGAACTGTAATAGTCCTTGTTTGTTTTTTTATTCTGAGCAAAAAGTACAAGTTATATGTAAAAGAAAAATCCCAAACCTGATTCTTAAATAAGTTTGACAAAGTAATTTGGGAATGGCAAGCCAAGGTTTCATCCCCCATTAAATATATAGTCTAGATTTTATGGCCAAAGAGTACTGATTAGTCATTAATTTCATGGTTAGGTTAAATTTTTAATGGTCTACTTATGTGCCTAACTGTTCATCTTATAGGGATTTTTACCAACTTGCAAATAGTGCATTTGAGTATACTTGGAAAGCAAGAGGTCTTGTCTTTTGATGTTTACCTCCCTGAACTGTCCAAAGTGGCTGAAAGAGAATGGGAGCCCCAAATTCAGGAATTGTGGGATAAAATAGTCTGTGTTCCTAATGAGAAAACCGGGAGGAAGGAAGGGATATGTAACACCTAGCTGTGAAAATCCTTAAATAATGGATGGAGCCCTTAATATTTTAGGCTATAATATTAAGGGTTAATGCTGGCCTTGGATCTGTTTTCACTGGCGTAGCAGACTTCAGTTGCATTTTGTCAGTCCCTTTGTTAAAAAGGGGAAAAAGAAAAAGGAAAGAAAAGGGTTTTGCCGTTGATGACATGTGATTTGGGAATTTTTAGCAAAGACAGGGACACTCTTCTCTAGTTGGCAAGAACTTTGTATGGACTGGTACTGGTTTTCAAAGGGTAGTCGGATGTACTACTCCTTGGTCTTGAGAGGCTAGGACATGGGGGCTGGGAGTTTGATGAGGGTTTTTTATTTTTATAATGAATTGTACTATGAAAATGTATTATGAAAATTAAGAAAGAATTTTAGTGGAACTGAGAGCTTGAGTAATGTGGCCTTACGTTAGAATAGACCAATAACAGCCTTATAAAGAGGGTGGGTTATTCCTCCTTGAAAGAAAATCTCTGCAGCAGAATTATCATAGGGAAATTCAGGAGCAGTAAAGAGCAGTCTCCAGACTGCTAACCTTAAGGACTTTTTTTACTTAAATAAAAAAGGAAGAAAAAGAAACATACACTACAGTTGTGCAAGTTTACGATTACTGCTTCTGAATCGTTTCTTCTCGCAGAGCCCCTTGAAAGCAGCAGCCCCTCAGAAAGGGGCGCTGCGCGGTGGGCACGGCGCTGCCCGCGCTGCCGGCCCCGCTCCGCTGCCGGCGGGAACAGGCTGCTGCGGTCCCACCTTGCAGGTCCCTCCTCAAACCCTGTCCTCTCCCGCCGAGGATGGGCAGGCTGGGGTGAAGCGGGAGCTGGGAGGAGCGAGGAGCAGCTGAACCAAGTGACGGCTCTAAGTTAAGGCCTGTTGTGCTTTGTCAGTTGAGTTATTCTCTTCCGTATCTAACCAAACTATACTTGAAAACGCAGGGACTGAAAATACACCTGCAGTTTGCAGTTTCCTCCTCCGGTCTTGTGTCTCTGTGCAGAGCGTGGGCCTGCGCTCCGCGGCACCGAGGTAGAGGAGGGAGGACCTGCTCGCTCGCATGGGACGCGGTGGCCGTGACAGCGGGGGGACACTGGTGAGGAGCGGGGTTACCCACCGGTGGTGCCTGTCAGCGTCAGCCTCTCCCTGCGGCCGACGGGGCAGGGGCCGAGGACAGGGAGCAGCAGGGCCCTGAGCAGCGCTTGGGCTGCCGGCCCTGCTGGGGAGGGGAAGGGGCGGCTGGACGGGAAGGCTTCGCGCTCCCTGTCTCTGCCCTCACTGAAAGCAAAGAGGCAGGGAGAGCTAATCCGCCAGCAAGATCGTTCTGGAAAAGCAGGGCTTGCAGTTGCACTGAGGAGAAGTGAGAAGTGCCTGCCCGTGATGTTCTGCAGCGCTGGTGAAACCTTCCTGCTCCGAGACGGGTGTCGAGGAGGCTGAGTGTATAACTTATACTTGAATCTACCTGCCACGTTTACATTTCTGATTATCTTTTGTAAATTGGTGCTATTTCTGTATTTAAAAAGCTGTATTTTTAATGTAAAGCTGCTTCCAGTTTGTATCTTTGCACTGCTAGTTTAATATAGATATTAATTTTATTGCTGCTTGTAACTGTTTTTAGACATCCTGCTTTTTCTGCTCTCTAGCTATCTTTTTAGTTGTTTGCATATAACTTTACTCCAATCACACTGTTGGGTTGAATTTTTTCTAATACTGTCTTTTAGCAAAAATATTAACTCTTATTGAATAAAAAATGGAATTAAAAAGAAGTCTGAGACCTTTTTTTTTACTTTCTCTATGGACAGGAGAGATTCCTTTGAAAGAAATACTAGCATTAAGCATCCGTTCAGCTTGCTGAATCAGTACTAAGGACTGTAGATACCTCAACACTTCCATTTTTACCAGTTTTACTTAGCACGAACAACATCGTGCCATCCAAGCGATGTGGGCAACATGAACGGTCTCTTACCTGGCACAGTGTCGTGTGCTCCAAGTTCTGCTCCCGTGACAGGCAGCAGCTGCTCTGGCGGAGGCTGCAGTGGTTGGGAGCTTTATTGGACGGCCCCACCCCCCCGCCGTGGACCCCTGCCCCACCAGCACCGTGGCCCCCCCGGCACCCCGTGGCACCGGAGCGCTCCCTGTGCCCCAGCTCTCCACAGGATGGCAGCAATGACTGCCGGACGTGGCACCTCGGGTGCCAAGGCGTGAGAATCAGTTATAAACCTTTCAGTTACACTTGTAAAAAAAAAAAAAAGGAAAAAGTAGAAAAAGGGGAACCTTGTGCATAAGGCAGGGCACCTCACTTGCGCCCAGGGCTCTGCACAGCGGGACGCCTGGGGACGGGATGGCTGCACTGGAGCTGTGAGTGCCGAGGAGCCGAGGAGCCTGGCTGCAGCTCCGCGGGGCTGCGCGGCTGTTAATACCCATGAGCATCAGGACAACCACCAGGTCGGGGGGAAAAAAGCACTTAAATAAAACTTTTAATTGGCTGGATTTAAATCACACGCACACCAGATGCAGTTTGTTCCCATGAAAATCAGTGATTGTTTCACTACTGATTCCAGCAAGGGCAATATTACCCCCTTCTGCCCATGGTTAGAGAGATGTGAATGGATGTCTCGCACTGTGAACAAAACGTGTGAGTTGCAACTATCGTAACTCCAGAAGTAACTCCTCAGCTGAAAGCTCCACATTTCATTCAATGCTGTGTGTTTTTATTTTCTTGTCTTTTTTTTTTTTTTTCTGACTTGAGTTACACCAATGCTAACTTTCCATTTCAAATGAAAGAGGGCAGGTAGTTTTAATGAGATTAAATATGGTGTGAGGACCACTAATAAACCCTCAACCTGTTCCAATTCCACCAGAAGGAACATGACTGTACTTTCACATGAAAGAGCAGGGCTGTAGCTTCTTGCAAGTCTCATCTTCCCTGGTGCACTTTTAATTCTCCTTTTTGAAGTAAGAATAATTAGAGGGGGGACATTAAACTTCCTCCGATTTAGTTCTCTCCATAAAAAGGGTAAATTAAAAGCAGTGACACTAGGGATGAAAGACTTAGCAGGCCACAGGCTGGGGTGGGCAACCCAAAACCAGCTGGGAGACAAAAATAATACCCCGAAGTTGAGCACTGCCAGCAACCCCGGCTTTGATCTGCCATAAACCTCTGTGCAGCTCGGAGCCTGAACACCCCTCAGCTACGTGAAGGGAAAGGGCAGCTGCCCTATGGATGAGGATGACCAGGGCCATAAAAGCCACCCCTCAGGGCGCTGTGCCCCGTGGGGATAGTTTAATGGACACAGATCTTGGGGGAAAAATAGGACTGACCGCCAGGGCAGAGGCCGCACCAGACACCAAGGTCCTGGGCAAGGCTGGCTGCTTCACGGTCTGCATGATAATTCTAAGTGTAGCAGCTCGGGATTTCTATTCAAGCGAAGGAGAGAAAAGAAAGGCTTTGGAGACAGGTAAGACAAATTAAACCATGGTGACCAGAGTCCTCTGAAATGATTTTCATGGGCAGTAAGCGTTAGTGCCCAGTCTTTCCAAATGTAGTTACTGTGCTATAAGTACAATGTAGTTACTGTGCTATAAGTACACTGAGCATGAGGCTATTTTTCGAGTGCTTTATCCAAGGCCTCCCGAAGTGATGAAATGAGTCCTAATGACTTCGTTCAGCACTGGCTTCGGCTCCAGGCCTTTCCCTGCTCCCCTAGGAGGGCATGACAGCTTGATGATGAGCGGGCAAACGGCTGCATTGCTGGTTTGCAGAATGCCATGACTTCCAAGTCTGGTATCACAGGACCTCCCAGGGAAGGAAA